GGCTGCTGCGGCCCTTGCCGATCCCCGAGCGACCTTGGCAAAGGATCGCAATGGACTTTATAGTCGAGCTCCCCCCGTCTCAAGACCACACCGCGATCCTCGTAGTCATTGATCGGTTATCGAAAATGGCTCACTTTTTACCGTTAAAGAAGACTCCGTCAGCAGCCGAGACTGCGCGAATTTTTATCCAGGAAGTTATAAGACTACATGGAATTCCGGAGGACATCGTCTCGGATCGAGGGGTCCAATTCACGTCTAAATTTTGGAGGGCACTGTGTAAGGCCTTGGATATCAAATTATCCCTCTCCTCTGCGTTCCACCCCCAGACCAATGGACAGACCGAGAGGACCAACCAGACCCTAGAACAGTACCTGCGTTGCTACACATCCTTCCTACAGGATAATTGGCTACCACTCCTACCCCTGGCGGAGTTCGCGTACAACAACGCCAACCATTCCGCAACAGGGCAATCACCGTTTTTTTCAAACTACGGATTTCACCCTGTCTTTCTCCCTGACTTGGTCCCTGAATGCCCAGTTCCGGCGACACAGGACACGCTAGCTTTCTTCTCCTCCAACAATAAGATACTACAGGAGGCTATTGCTCGGGCCCAGGAGGACTACAAGAAGGCGTTTAACAAAAGACGAAGAGGGGACCTGGTGCTGCAGCCCGGGGATAAAGTGTGGTTGGCAACAACGAACTTGAAAATGCTATGTCCATCAAAGAAATTAGGACCAAAGTTCATAGGCCCCTTTTGCATAAAGCGGGCGGTCAATGAGGTGGCATACGAACTTGTCCTCCCTGACACACTCAAGATACACCCGGTCTTCCATGTGTCCTTGCTGAAACCAGTAATCCCCGATGCCTTCCCAGAACGAGAATCTCGACCTCCGGAGGCCATAACGGTCGAAGGTGAAGAAGAATTTGAGGTGGAATCAATCCTGAAGTGCCGAAGGAGGGGGGGTCAGAGCCAATTTTTTATTAAATGGAAGGGCTATGGCCCTGAGGATAATTCATGGGAACCAGCCCGTAATGTCCATGCACCCCGACTTGTCCGGAGGTTCCTTCGTGATCACCCGTGGTGGAGAGATCGGGTGGGCACCCAGAGGTTGCCCGTAGGGGGGGGGCAATGTCAGGAATCCCCGCTGCGACGGGCTCGGCGCAGGCGCAGTGCACCGCTCCGTGTCAGAATGCGGGCACTGAGACCTGGCCGTCCGCGGCGAGGGAGTTCGCGCATGCGCAGTGGGGACCGCGGGCGCGCGCGCGTGGCACCAATGGCAGCGCAGGGCGGGATATTTAAACGGCCCTGAGCTGTCATTCAGTGCCTTCTGGTCTTCCCTTGTATCCTGTATCTGCGAACCTGTTCTAGTAAGTTATTGACCCGGATTATACCTGACCTTGTTGCCTTCTCCTGCCCAGACCCTTGCTTTGCCTGACCTCTCTCCTGAATGCCCCTGTTTGGATCTGACCTTCCGTTGCTGACCTGGCGTGTGACCCGACTACTCTCTGCCCGCTGCCTTGTACTGCTCCGTCCCCACTGTTACCGACCCGGCCCGTTTGACCCCGCACTTGCTCAGCCATCCATCCATCCATCCCGACGGGATCACCCGACCTCCTCACATCAGGCTCTTCCCTGCGGGAGCCCCTGGCGAATACCGCTACCACTGACGGGCGTGCTCAGTAGCCACGACCTGGTCTCGGGGTACTTCAAGTCCATCCCCACCATCAGGGGCTCTGGTGAACACGTACCCTGGGGCTTAGATACCGTGCGCTGGGGACGCCTGGCCAGTGGAGTGCTAGTGGTACCGCCTGGTGGTCCCTTACAGCCACACTCTGCCATGTGCCACTTTCAGGTCTCCTCACACTGCTGGTGGGTTCCATTTTGTCATAGGGTGCTGGCAGATTACGGGCCTCCCATTGCTGCTGCCAGGCCCGTAATCTGCCATGGGCCCCCGTACTGACTCCTCATGCTGTGACGTTGCAACAAGGTGTAATTCAACCCTACATATGTTAACCGCCTTTACGAACAGCGAAAGGCCATCACCGATTTCCTGATGTTACAAGCGGATAAAGGTACTCCCCTGTGTAACTTCGATGTCAGCCATTGGCAGCTCATGCGTGACACCTGCCGCTTGCTCAGGCCCTTTGAGGAGGCCACGCTATTCGTGAGTCGGCAGGACTATGGGATGAGCGACGTCATTCCTCTGTTGCACGTCCTGGAACGAATGCTGTTAACAATGGCTGGTCAGGGTGCGGTAGACGTGGCGCACAGATCTCAACGCCACATGACCCCTGTGGGGGCAGGACAGGAAGAAGAGGAGGAGGTAGAGGAGGACATTGGTGCTCAGGAATTATTGAGTGAAATGGGTGGTTTTTCCACTCAGCGGACAGGAGTGGAGGAGCAGGAGCATCTGGTAGAGGAGGAGGAGGAGGAGACAGAGGACCCAGACGCACCGTGGCAGTATGCTGTGGAGATGGAGGCAGGGAGTCCCTCGCATTCCTTGGCACAAATGGCCCATAGCATGCTCGGTTGCTTGCGTAGCGACAGCCGAATAATAACCATCAGACAGAGGGATGACTTTTGGCTGTCCACCTTGTTGGACCCTCGCTACCGTTCAAAAATGGTGGCCTTTTTCACACCTGCTGTGAGGGAGGCCAAAATAACGTACTATAAAAACCACCTATGTAGTCAGTTGGTCTCTGCCTTTCTGCGCCAACGTCCATCCTCAGACACTGTGGGCCCTGTGCGCTCACGTTCCATTGCCATGGCAGCAGGGGAGGGGTGGGGTGGTAGGAGCAGTGGCAGCTCCACCAGCAGCGGCTGCCTCAGTCTGCAGTCGATGATGAGTAGCTTTCTTCACCAGCGCAGTGAGGAAACTACTAACCAGCCGCAGCAGCAGCAGCAGCATCAGGTGGACCTGGAGCAGGACCTCAAACAACAGGCTTGGGCCTACTTGGACAGCACCCTGCCAATCGAGGTAGACAATCCCCTTGACTACTGGGCAATGAAACTTGACCTTTGGCCCCAACTAGCTGAATTTGCCCTTGAAAGGCTGTCATGCCCGGCCAGTAGCGTGGCATCGGAGCGCGTGTTTAGTGCGGCAGGAGGTATTGTAACTCCGCGGAGGACACGACTGTCCACCCAAAGTGTGGAGAGACTCACGTTTGTGAAAATGAATCAGGCGTGGATTAGTCTGGATTTCAAACCACCAGTTCCTGACACAACTGACTAAATCCGCCATGAATCATGCCCCAAACATGTTATTTTTTTTAACATAGGCCTCTGTATGGCCTTCAATTTAAGCTGCTTACGCTTCGCCACTCTGCCATGGGCCCCTGTACCGCCTCCTCTTGCTGCTGCCAGGTCCAGAGTGTGTCATGGGTCCCTGTACGGCCTCCCATTGCTGCTGTCTCCATCGCCACACTCTGCCATTTGCCACTTTCAGGTCTCCTCACACTGCTGGTGGGTTCCATTTTGTCATAAGGTGCTGGCAGATTACGGTCCTCCCATTGCTGCTGCCAGGCCTGTAATCTGCCATGGGCCCCTGTACCGCCTCCTCATGCTGCTGCCAGGTCCAGAGTGTGTCATGGGTCCCTGTACGGCCTCCCATTGCTGCTGTCTCCATCGCCACACTCTGCCATGTGCCACTTTCAGGTCTCCTCACACTGCTGGTGGGTTCCATTTTGTCATAGGGTGCTGGCAGATTACGGGCCTCCCATTGCTGCTGCCAGGCCCGTAATCTGCCATGGGCCCCCGTACCGCCTCCTCATGCTGCTGCCAGGTCCAGAGTGTCTCATGGGTCCCTGTACGGCCTCCCATTGCTGCTGTCTCCATCGCCACACTCTGCCATTTGCCACTTTCAGGTCTCCTCACACTGCTGGTGGGTTCCATTTTGTCATAGGGTGCTGGCAGATTACGGGCCTCCCATTGCTGCTGCCAGGCCCGTAATCTGCCATGGGCCCCTGTACCGCCTCCTCATGCTGCTGCCAGGTCCAGAGTGTGTCATGGGTCCCTGTACGGCCTCCCATTGCTGCTGTCTCCATCGCCACACTCTGCCATGTGCCACTTTCAGGTCTCCTCACACTGCTGGTGGGTTCCATTTTGTCATAGGGTGCTGGCAGATTACGGGCCTCCCATTGCTGCTGCCAGGCCCGTAATCTGCCATGGGCCCCCGTACCGCCTCCTCATGCTGCTGCCAGGTCCAGAGTGTCTCATGGGTCCCTGTACGGCCTCCCATTGCTGCTGTCTCCATCGCCACACTCTGCCATTTGCCACTTTCAGGTCTCCTCACACTGCTGGTGGGTTCCATTTTGTCATAGGGTGCTGGCAGATTACGGGCCTCCCATTGCTGCTGCCAGGCCCGTAATCTGCCATGGGCCCCTGTACCCGCCTCCTCATGCTGCTGCCAGGTCCAGAGTGTTTCATGGGTCCCTGTACGGCCTCCCATTGCTGCTGTCTCCATCGCCACACTCTGCCATTTGCCACTTTCAGGTCTCCTCACACTGCTGGTGGGTTCCATTTTGTCATAGGGTGCTGGCAGATTACGGGCCTCCCATTGCTGCTGCCAGGCCCGTAATCTGCCATGGGCCCCTGTACCGCCTCCTCATGCTGCTGCCAGGTCCAGAGTGTGTCATGGGTCCCTGTACGGCCTCCCATTGCTGCTGTCTCCATCGCCACACTCTGCCATGTGCCACTTTCAGGTCTCCTCACACTGCTGGTGGGTTCCATTTTGTCATAGGGTGCTGGCAGATTACGGGCCTCCCATTGCTGCTGCCAGGCCCGTAATCTGCCATGGGCCCCTGACCGCCTCCTCTTGCTGCTGCCAGGTCCAGAGTGTCTCATGGGTCCCTGTACGGCCTCCCATTGCTGCTGTCTCCATCGCCACACTCTGCCATGTGCCACTTTCAGGTCTCCTCACACTGCTGGTGGGTTCCATTTTGTCATAGGGTGCTGGCAGATTACGGGCCTCCCATTGCTGCTGCCAGGCCCGTAATCTGCCATGGGCCCCTGTACCGCCTCCTCATGCTGCTGCCAGGTCCAGAGTGTCTCATGGGTCCCTGTACGGCCTCCCATTGCTGCTGTCTGCATCGCCACACTCTGCCATTTGCCACCTTCAGGTCTCCTCACACTGCTGGTGGGTTCCATTTTGTCATAGGGTGCTGGCAGATTACGGGCCTCCCATTGCTGCTGCCAGGCCCGTAATCTGCCATGGGCCCCCGTACCGACTCCTCATGCTGCTGCCAGGCCCGTAATCTGTCATGGGCCCCTGTACCGCCTTCTCATGCTGCTGCCAGGTCCAGAGTGTCTCATGGGTCCCTGTACGGCCTCCCATTGCTGCTGTCTCCATCGCCACACTCTGCCATGTGCCACTTTCAGGTCTCCTCACACTGCTGGTGGGTTCCATTTTGTCATAGGGTGCTGGCAGATTACGGGCCTCCCATTGCTGCTGCCAGGCCCGTAATCTGCCATGGGCCCCCGTACCGACTCCTCATGCTGCTGCCAGGCCCGTAATCTGTCATGGGCCCCTGTACCACCTCCTCATGCTGCTGCCAGGTCCAGAGTGTGTCATGGGTCCCTGTACGGCCTCCCATTGCTGCTGTCTCCATCGCCACACTCTGCCATGTGCCACTTTCAGGTCTCCTCACACTGCTGGTGGGTTCCATTTTGTCATAGGGTGCTGTATGGCCTCCCATTGCTGCTGCCTCCACCGCCACACTGTGGCTCCACACTCTGGTTTTGGCCCCGTGACTGCCCAAATGAGTGAAGTGTGCGGTGATTCTAAGATCGACGGCACTCATCTGCATGTCATACTGACTGACAGTATTATTTCTCTTCCCCAGCAGACTCCAAGGGCATTTAAATTAAAGGTACAGTGTTCTGCACTAATATAAAGGCTCTCTGAAGCCTAGAAACACCCTTTTTAAAGTTAAATTCGCAGCGAATATATTCGCCTCGAATCGAATTTATTCCTCGAATTCGCCGAATCAGCCGAATCGAATTTTTGAATACTTCGCTCATCTCTAATTATAGCAAAGAATTTCTTTGCTATAAGCAAGCATTTAAACTGAATGAAATCGATTCATTCAGATTTTTTTTTTGTTGTGATTAGCTGTGATTGGCCCCAGCTAATCACATGACACAAATGGGCTGTGATTAGCCCAGCCTGTGCATGTGATCGCTGTGACCATTCACAGCTAGACACAGTTGTATACAATGGATGGCATGAAAGGAAGCAATCCATTGTATACAACTGTCATGTGACCTACTGTGATTGGTCACAGTAGGTCTCATGGTACTGGCAATGAAGCCGGTACACAGATCTGTCATTGGCCGTGTCCGAGGTACACGGCCGGTGACAGATCTTGCCATAGCATGGCCTTGCAGGCACGCGCTAGGCCCGATCCAGGAAGGACACAATATGGGGTCCTCCCAGAGGGATGATGTTTTCACCCAGCCGCCATTTGGCCATAGGCCAAATGGCAACTGGTTAAAGGTAAGAAGGTACCCTCTGAAAATGCCCAGTGCAAGCGGAGCGCTTGAGAATATATGAACCGAAGGTGCAGTTCTGCCTATACTGAGCTCCTAGATAAATGGTTAAAGTGGACAGAGATCCACAATAGGTAAAGGGGTTACCAAGTCCACAGGGACTAAGAATCATGCAGATTAAACAGCTAGAGGAAAAGCTATCTATTTGAGCAGGATGGATGAAGGGTGACAGACAATGTAACATTAGACCTAAAGGGAAATTTTGATGTTAAGTTGTGGAATTAATTTAGGGTAGGGAACCACAACTAGTAAATTCTAAAACATGGAAAAAAGCCAAAACAAAGAAATTAGGGTCAAATTGTATAGAAATAATATAATTCTTGGCCCTGGCCCAAACACAATACTTTATATGTGGTCAGAGAAGAAAGATGAGAAGAGCACGATGGCTGCCCATCTGACAATAGGAGCTAGAGTAAGTTAAGAACAGGATTACAGTACATGGGATGCAATCGATATCAGAGAACAAAATAAGGAAAGCAGAATTTAGGGAGGGACAGTCAGGTCCATAAATATTGGGACATTGACACAATTCTAACATTTTTTGCTCTATACACCACCACAATGGATTTGAAATGAAACGAACAAGATGTGCTTTAACTGCAGACTGTCATCTTTAATTTGAGGGTATTTACATCCAAATCAGGTGAACAGTGTAGGAATTACAACAGTTTGCATATGTGCCTCCCACTTATTAAGGATCCAAAAGTAATGGGACAATTGGCTTCTCAGCTGTTCCATGGCCAGGTGTGTGTTATTCCCTCATTATCCCAAATACAATGAGCAGATAAAAGGTCCAGAGTTCATTTCAAGTGTGCTATTTGCATTTGGAATCTGTTGCTGTCAACTCTCAAGATGAGATCCAAAGAGCTGTCACTATCAGTGAAGCAAGCCATCATTAGGCTGAAAAAACAAAACAAACCCATCAGAGAGATAGCAAAAACATTAGGCGTGGCCAAAACAACTGTTTGGAACATTCTTAAAAAGAAGGAACACACCAGTGAGCTCAGCAACACCAAAAGACCCGGAAGACCACGGAAAACAACTGTGGTGGATGATGGAAGAATTCTTTCCCTGGTGAAGAAAACACCCTTCACAACAGTTGGCCAGATCAAGAACACTCTCCAGGAGGTAGGTGTATGTGTGTCAAAGTCACCAATCAAGAGAAGACTTCACCAGAGTGAATACAGAGGGTTCACCACAAGATGGAAACCATTGGTGAGCCTCAAAAACAAGAAAGCCAGATTAGAGTTTGCCAAACAACATCTAAAAAAGCCTTCACAGTTCTGGAACAACATCCTATGGACACATGAGACCAAGATCAACTTGTACCAGAGTGATGGGAAGAGAAGAGTATGGAGAAGGAAAGGAACTGCTCATGATCCTAAGCATACCAACTCATCAGTGAAGCATGGTGGTGGTAGTGTCATGGCGTGGGCATGTATGGCTGCCAGTGGAACTTGTTCTCTTGTATTTATTGATGATGTGACTGCTGACAAAAGCAGCAGGATGAATTCTGAAGTGTTTCGGGAATATTATCTGCTCATATTCAGCCAAATGCCTCACAACTCATTGGACGCTTCACAGTGCAGATGGACAATGACCCAAAGCAGACTGCAAAAGAAACCAAAGAGTTTTTTAAGGGAAAGAAGTGGAATGTTATGCAATGGCCAAGTCAAGTACCTGACCTGAATCTAATTGAGCATGCATTTCACTTGCTGAAGACAAAACTGAAGGGAAAATGCCCCAAGAACAAGCAGGAACTGAAGACAGTTGCAGTAGAGGCCTGGCAGAGCATCACCAGGGATGAAACCCAGCGTCTGGTGATGTCTATGCGTTCCACACTTCAGGCTGTAATTGACTGCAAAGGATTTGCAACCAAGTATTAAAAAGTGAAAGTTTGATTTATGATTATTATTCTGTCCCATTACTTTTGGTCCCTTTACAAGTGGGAGGCACATATGCAAACTGTTGTAATTCCTACATTGTTCACCTGATTTAGATGTAAATACCCTCAAATTAAAGCTGACAGTCTGCAGTTAAAGCACATTTTGTTTGTTTCATTTCAAATCCCTTGTGGTGGTGTATAGAGCCAAAAATGTTAGAATTGTGTCGATGTCCCAATATTTATGAACCTGACTGTAAAAACTAATTTAAGCAGGGAAATTTTGAAGAGAGTTAAAAGAAAGTGAGAGAATGATATGCACATGTTGTGTAAAAAAAATGGGATAAATATAAGACATTTAGAGAGATTTTCCTCCTTTATGGAGATGTATCTGTGTATTGGAATTAGGGTGTGATACTGAGATTATCACTCGAGTATTCATTTCTGATATGCTGTTAACAATTTTGTTAATAATATAGATAAATTTTAATTGGTTTAGACAACCTTGAGTTGGAAATGGAATACAGGTTATTGGGATGGACAGGATACATGAGAACATTTTTCATAAAAAAAATAAGTCTAAAGGTCTGATAATAACTTGATGTGTGGTCCATGATGTGAGAGTAATAAATAAAATTACAGACCCATCACACGAAGCCCACACACCCTGTTAGAATAGATGCCACCAGCAGCCAGATGTTTTGTAGTTTTTTGATCTGGTTGATGATTTTTCTATTCTTTCAAATACAGACAAGTAACATCAGGAAAATATGTAAGACAAAACTAAGAACTTGTGTTATCTAGCTAAAACTAACAACAAAGGTTGTCTTTTTAGAACATGAAAATGGAGTTTTTACACAAAAAGCATGATAAGAAAAAAAATAAGCCACTGAGATATATTTCATGCAAGCTGGACCCAGTAATGACAGGTTCACCGGGCTATATCAGAGCAGGAGATGTATGCAAGGTGTTACTAGACAAAGGTACAGACATTGTTTTGGTCAATTATTCAACTTTAATGGTCCCACATTCTGTGCAGCAATTATTGCAAAGCGCTAAACTAAATATTTGTCAAATGCAAGGTTCACAAAATAAGAATTTGTATTGTTATTTATGTAGGAATCTAACAATAAAAAAGGCATACCATTGAATCCAGCCACCTTATTGCCTGTGTTGGAAGAGGCTGGAGACAAAGAAAAACCACATGTGTAAAATTGATGTTGTAGGGATCAGCTGCTGTGATCCCAGTGCAGGACACCCTCCTCGAAGACCCAGATATTTGATTTTTTTTTTAGATGGATCCCGGTTTTATACCGAGGAAGGCAAGACCCATACTGAATATGTAGTTATCACCCAAAAGGACGCTCTGTATTTAGAGTAATTGGATCCTTCTTCCCCAGCGCAAGAAGCAAAGCTCCATACTTTAGCAAAGCCTGTGAGCTATCAAAAGAGTATTAATTTTATATATAAATATTAGAAAATTAGAGCGCTTTTGGGGTGGTGTATGATTTTGGTTCTATTTGAAGGGCTAAAAGTTTTTTACTTCGGCAGGTAAACCAATCAAGCATGGTACGTTAATTGATTGGCTGTTTTCAGCCTTCCAGCTTCTTGCTGAGGTAGCCATACTAACATTAAAATACACACATTAGAAGCAAACCAGGCGACTAAGAATGCTGCATTACAGCCCCAGTTGCTGGGTCTGTGCAACTCACAGATTCCACCCTAGTTCTGGCCCAGTAGAGCTGGGATTATTATTTAAACTTTAAGGACCCCAGAACAAGAAGAACAAATGGTCTACAGTGGAGGGCAACTTCTTATGAAAAAGGTAATCTTTTATTTCTGCTGGCCACTCTTTTTCCCTTCAGCCTTACACATGAACCGTGTCATCAGTCAAAAGCAGTTATTGCTCCCTAAGTCAATGAGCTTGGGATAGCGCCAGGATTCACCACAGTTGTTTTTTAATACACCGCTTCTTGTCTTACCGTTACCAAATCTGAATATCCCTTTCAGAGGTTACAAAAGGATATATCCAGATGCCCAAGTCAGGATCTTATGAGTATGCACTGGTCTGTATGGATGTGTTTTCTGAATGGCAAGAAGTTTGGCCAGTGGCAAATTATACTGCAAAGACCACAATAAAGACTGTTATTAGAAGAAGTTTGTAAGTACAGAGTCCCAGAAGCTAGAGAGGATAATAGAGGAACTAATTTTACAGGACAGTTCTTGCAAAAGGTTTTCTATTACTTATTTAACCTACCATCCACAATGCAGTGGAAAAAGTAGAGTAACTAAGGGGATGTCAGAAACTAGAACGCTATGGCCTGAATAGGATATTGGACTCTATCCCTATGAGATTTAGATTGAAAATGTGTGATCTTTCTCAGCAGCTGGAGTTCTCCACTCAGATCTCACAGAGAATGTTGGTGATCGCTTAAGGTTTTTGACAAACTAATTTATGTGTTT